ACACACACACACACACACACACACACACATGCTCGTCTCTTCATTCAAAGGGCAAAGCTTTCCAAAGAAGGAGGGCTTGTGTTGGATTGGAAGGGGGAGATGGGGGAGGGGGGGAAGGAGGGAGGTTGGTCAGTACTATGAGTCAGCACACACACACACACACACACACACACACACACACACACACACACACACACACACACACACACACACACACACACACACACACACACGCACGCACACACAGGTCGTTGTGTTACCATAGAGACAGCCGAGTTGGTCAGCGTTAAAAGCAGGAAGGATGCCGCCCGAATGTTAATGTGGACTCCAGAAGAGCGGGGTGTGTGTGTGTGTGTGTGTGTGTGTGTCTGTGTCCTCATTGACCTTTGACCCTCTTCACTCTTCGCAGCTAATAACTGTTTCTGAGTGATATTTGACCTTTGACCTCGGCTTGTTCGGCACCTGCCTGGTAATGTTTTGATCTTTTGGTCCTTTGTGTGCCGCTCGCTGCATGTACAAGGTCCAAAAGCATGTGTGTGTGTGTGTGTGTGTGTTTGTGAAGGCGACATGCCAACAGGTAGGCAGCTGTGGCCTTAAAGTGACAGACACAATGGTTCATGTGGACTGTAATGAATATTTTCTCAATGTTCCTATTATTTTGTTTTATCTATTTTTACTTTATTTGTATTCATTTTTACTTTATTAATTTATTTGCATTCATACAATATTTTTATGAAAGAATAAACCAATACAAAGAAACGTTCTTGTCGTAACTCTATTACTTTAGTAACTTTTCTGGAATAAAATGCCTAAAATCTACTAGATCTTTGTCATATTATTATATACATTTATGTAAATAATATATATATATATGAATGTAGTTGAGTCGAGTACTTACTTATGTGTTATTTTAATGAAGCTAACATTCCCTCTGGTCCTCCGAGCAGCACAACATTACTCTACAGTTTTTAATACAAGCAATGTGTTTTTGTTTTTTATCAGGAAACATCCTCTAAACATCTCCATTTATACTCTGAATTAATCGCGAGCAGCTCCAGCTGTGGTGACAAGGTAAATATGCAGCAGCTATAGACAAATATTATCCATATTTATTAGAAAAACGCAGTCACTGCATAAAAATGAATAACATTTCTGATTGTGACATTTAGGAATGCCAATCTCTGAATAACAGCATGTAAGTCAAATTCCATTTCCAATGACTAATGTGAGTGTAAACATGCAGTATAACCTCTGTATAAAATCTGTCGTATGGCTATGATAAAGTCAGTTTTTATACGTGTCTATGCATCTGCTCTTGAAGCTTCATTGCTTGACATTCCCTGTGCTGGATCAATAACCTCCTTAATCGTATCTATCAATAGATGCGTTTAAATCATCCACTGTATAAAGTTACTTCCCATTATTTATTCAATGCACTTCCTAGCACCATTTGCATTCCTCTTTATATATTTAACAATCATATTTTTGACCTAACTATCAATACTTGAAGCCTTGAAGCCTTTTAGACATACATGTATATAAATAACAATAATCAAAACATGTCAGAAAAGTTGGTCAAATGTCCATCTTACTTCCTCAAAGTCCACTTTTTCTCAGACCAAATTACAAAGATA